TGTGCTTCATGGAACAACAAAATCAAATTTAAGCTGCTTGGTTAACAATTGCGAGAACATTAAAGTGTTATGCAAAGTGAAAAAAGGTATTTTTCTTGGATCGATGCATATAGTAGCTTTTCAAATAAGCTCTTTAAAGGGTTCTAGCTCATCTATATGATGAAGAACAACTAGCGTTCCTTGTAACTTGAAGGAAGGGAGGGAATGTAAATGTCCTGCCAATGACTGAATATAACATATTCTCATAATTCAAATAAATACTTGTACAACTATTTATAGATGGGGAGAATTAAAGTGGCAGACAAGAGAAGTTGATTTGATTAAAGTTTTTATAAGTTCAAAACCAAAATATAGCGTCATAAATAAAAGAACGTAGAAATGAAATAATTTAATTCAATTTGATTTTAGCACAAACTTAAATCGAGCATAATAACACTAATGCTGAAGGAAAAGGTACAACTAAGAGATCTAGAGAAAAAGTAGATTTAAATATTCAAATTAAAATATCGAAATATCTAGGAGATGGTTTTTACAAGCACTGATAATCGTCCAAGAGACACACACTTACCATCATTTATTCGGCAAGTAGTACACAAGAACACGACCAAGGGAACAATATCCAACTTTCATTCATAATCAAGCGAATTAGAGTACCATTGACTCACTATTGATGGCTTAAAAATAGAATGCTAACTCACATCCACACTAAATGAATGCAAAAGTCATAGTAGTGGAGAGGTAGGGGAGGGCTGAAGGGGGCAGGGGTGATCTATAAAAGGTCTGAAGGATTGAGGGAAAGCTAAAGTGAATCCATGTTATGAATGGACAAATTTGAAGAAGAATCCATTGAGAGGGTGGAGGGGATGACTAAAAGGAGGAAGAGATAACGTGTAAATAAATGACTCAAAATCTATTGACACCCAAATATCAATGATGACCCAAGTTACGTTCAAACTAAATTTGATTCAATTAAATAAATTCACATCATGAGATGTGAATACGAACACATGAAAATAACATAGAAGCACATATTGAGGATCATTGGAAAAAAATGTAGACCCTAAGAAAAATATGATGAAGATGATTGGTCAAAAGATACTTCGCATCACTTTATCTATTAGTCACTTAATTATTTCATTTAATTATTTATTAATTATTGTTAAGATATTATATTTTAATTATATGAAATCTATAATATATTCACTCGGGTCATTCTATAAACTTGTAAAAGTTTCACAATTATTTTTAAGCAAACAACTTCAACTCTTTTCATATTTCAGGTAATATGATTTTACTAGCAAGTCATCCTCTTTATTTGCAACACAAAACTATATAGCATAGCATAATATAATGGAAGACAACAATGGCAAACACAGTGTGGACTTAATTTAGATATTGGTATAAAGGCAATTGACAATGATTCGCAGAATCTGCTTGATTGCACACTCGTCCGAGTATGAGGCTCATGGAGTGAAACTAAAATGATTCTCTATATTTGGCAAGCACAAAATTATGAATTTGGAGACCTCAAGATCACCCAAGGCGAGTATAGAGAATATTACTTTATATGATCCTGTTTTACTGGCACTTAATTTTCTAATGGTTCCTGGAGGAAATCTCTGTTGATTTATTTGTCTATGACATTGTCATATTTTTTTGAATTTTGTAGATTTCATGTTCTTATATGCAACAGACTTGTACTTGTCGCATTTAACATCAACTTCTCATCAACCTATCTTTTTAGCAAATCATTTATATGAGTAATGGATAATGCAATAGGTATGATGCGTGTAATTAAGAAATCCTTATACACTTGCTAAGAGGGGGAAAGCTTGAAATTTAGGGTAATAGATTTCATAAAATATTCTTTTGATGATAAAAAATCCCATAGATTCAAATATGATATGCATATTTTATGCACATACATCTTTAGAGAAAGCAATCAAAACTATTTGATGGTTAATAATAATTAATTAATACATTGTTGTGATTATTTGGGTGGATGGAGTATTAAATTTTCAAGTGTTTTTAAGGCAATTGTCATTATTTTCTTAATTATGTTATTGTAATTTAACTTTCTTAATAAGATTCTGTCGATAAACTCATAAATAAAGAATTAAAGAATTAAAGAAAAATTGTCATTGGCATGTCTATATTTGTCTATAGGATGATACTGATATATAGTTGCTCATGACTTATTTTATCGAATGGTTTAATAGATCAAACAAGTTGAGCATGTTTAATTCGCATTGTTTCATAGTTAGGGATACTTTCTAATGTTGTTTGATTTATACATGATCTCAGGTTCATGTTTTAACTTTTGATTAAGTTTAGGTTTATGTTCTTTTTTAATATGTTTTGTTGTGGACTTTGATGCATATTTTAGTATGAGTTTTGATACACAAATAAAATAGAGGATAATGTTGTAATTGTAAATTTTTTGTTCATGTAATTCATTATTAATAGAATATTCATGAATTATTGTTTTTCTATGAGATCAAACTTGACCATACTTGATACTGTGCTAGCAAAAAAGCACGTCGTTCACGAATAGCTCGTGTTCAACTCGTTAAGTAGTTCGTATTCGATTCGTTCGTTAAGCAAACCGAACATGAACAATTTCTTTGAGCTCGATTTATGAACGAGCTGAACACGAATAAAGATTTGTTCGTTTG